CCAACTGCCGGAGGCGGTGCATCCACCTTCCCGAGAGCGTCCTTTGGTGAAGTCGGCGCTGTCGCGGTTGCCGTAGGTCCTGATCCTGCCACAGGCGTAGCAGGCGTCGCGGATGCGTGCTCCGGGGAAGTCGTTGCTGTCTCCTTCGTGGCGGAGGGTTCAGCGGGTGGCAGAGCCTCATGAGGCCTGGCGGGTGTCGGCGTCTGAGCGGCTGGCTGGGGGTCGGGCACGGGAGCAGCAGCCGGCAACTGCGGAGTGGCGTCAGCAACAAGAGCTCCAGAGGGCTTGATTGCTGGCGCGTCCTTCCCCGGGGCAGGTGCAGACGCCGAACCGAGAGGGAGGGGGGCGCGGGTGGGTCCAGAGGTTCCCGACGATGACGGTTCGGGTTGCTCGGGAGCGGTGTCGGGACGTGGCGGGCCATCCTTGTCGAAGTCGTCTTGCATAGGCGCGTCCTCGTTGGTGGCGTGCCCGTCCTCCTGCATCTTCTCCTCGCCATTCTGCTCGTCCTCCGGATCCTCAGCATCATCCTCGTCCTCCGAAGGAGTTGGAACCCTGGCCCGCCTGACGCCATCAAGGGAAAGGCCGTAACGAACGGGTTTCTGCGGCCGGCCACCTAACGCCTGGCGCGGGTGCTTGACGTTGAAGATGGGCTCGTCGATGCCCAAGACGAACTCGATCGCACCCAAGCGCTCGTGAAGACGGTCGAGGGAGCGCGTGATCTCGTCCAGAGTGTCGACGATGCCGGCGCGATCGGCAAACTCTGCAGGTGAATCAGCATGATTGTTGTCACGCTTTAAAAGTAAAATAACGTACGGAATTCAACACCTGCAGCCCCAACGACGGGCCGAGAGGGCACAGCCGGCATAGTCGGGGCCGTCGGGACCGTCGGGTTGCTCGGGCCAGCTGTCGGGACGAGGGCCAGCGGCGCTTTGTCCCTGCCAGCGTTCGACTTCGAGCGCGTGCGAGGTCCGGGGCCACCAGATGTGGCGGGCGCGTCAACGTCGATGACTTCAGCGGACGCGGGCGCGGGCGGAGGGAGGACGGCATCGGGAATTTCCCCCTTGATGACTTGGACGTTCGACATGTTGATCCCCGGGTAGACCAAGCGATAGCTCGCGTCATCAGGCCACGTTAGCGGAACCTTGGCAAACTGAGACGCCGCTTCGCCGCTGGTGAGCTTGAGGGCGAAGTCGGGGTTCGTGATGGTGCCTAGGAAGAAGCGGTTAGCAAAGTCCCGACGTCCCCGACAGTCCCGACATGCGACTCACCAGCCTCGTCAATGTACCAGGGCCAAGCCTTCAGCTTCTTCTCAGCCAACAGCTTCTCCAACATCGCAACACGCACAGTTGCGTCCGGAGGAAGCAACTGGGGCAACACGCCGTTGTGGCCCTCGGGCGTGAGGAACTCGATGTCCCTCCCGATCTCAGGCGCCCTTCCAGCGATCTTGGCAGAGCAGCCGCGCTGCTTGTTGTAGCAGTGCAGGCAGGTCCACCCCTTCTTCGTGCTGGTGAGGGGCCGCACAATACACCGCGATTTCAACCTCCAGCATTCCTCGCAAGGCTCCTGCGACCCAGTCAGCGCCAGAAACGATGAAAGAAAAAAAAAGGTGAACAATACCTTATACTGAGCCAAGTTCTCGCGCTTCAAGCCGTGCATTTCGGGGGTCTGGAAGAGGGTGAAATCGTCGACAGGCGTAGCCGGCGACGCGGCCTCCAGCGCCTTATAAACATCGCGCTCGGCCGCGAACCGCATACCCTTGACAGACCACCACGAGGCATCGCGCACGGCACGGTGCCTCGGCGGCTTGACCGCGGGCGTCTTCGTCCTCCCGACCTTCTTCGGGGGCGCGACGACCGCCACCTCATCGTCGCTCTCCTGCACGGCCTTACGCTTGCCCTTCGCGCTCCTCTTCGTCTTAGGAGGTTCGTATACGTCCCCATCCACCTCCATCTCCTCCGGCACGACCTCCTTCTCCTTTCCCTTCCTGCTTGCCCCACGCGTCCTCTTGGCGGCCTTCACTTCCTCGTCCGTGTCCCCGTCAGCATCAGCGTCGCTGCCGAGATCCGCCACGTCCGCGTCGTCGCCATCGCCGGCGGCGGGCTTTGCCTTGGCGTTGACATTTGCCTTCGTTACCTTCGGCTTCGGCTTCGGCTTCTGCTTCGACGCTGCCTTCGTCCTCTTCTTGGGCGCGGGCGTGGCCTCGAGCTCGTCCTGGTCCTCGTCCTCGCTGTCGACGACGACGGTGGACTTGATGACGCCGCGCGCGCGGTTCCTCTTTGGACGAGGGGCGTCCTCGTCCTCGGAAGTGATGTCCGCGAGCTCCCGACGCTTCCCGCCGCGTCCCGACGGAGCGGGGTTGGACTTGTCGGGAACGTCGGGACCAGCGTCGGGGCCCTTGTCCTCGCCCTGAGACGTGCCGGACTTTGGCGCGGCCTCGCGCGTAGGAAGCAGCGAGTCAAATAGCGCCGTCGTGGAAGCCGTGGCCTGCGTCGGGGCGGGAGCGGGAGCGGGCGGAAGGTGTGGTTGCGCGGGGACGGCCGGATTGCCGGAGACGGCATCTGCAGGCTCGGCTGTAGCCAAGTTAGTAACGCGCATGAGGATCGGGCATAGCGTACGCACGAAGGATGTCCCACCACATATCCGAACCGGTGTACGCCGGCACCCTGTTGATGTCCTCCTGGTACTTCCTCATAGCCGTGCCCGTCGCAGCCTTGAAAAGCGAAAGGCTATACGCATCCGTAATGTCCTTCGGATGCGAGCCCCTTTCCACGATCCACTTCAGCATGTGGAGAACCCACTCGGGTCCCGACGGCGAAGCTGTTTTTAACACCATCTATGCTGCGGTGAGTAGCGATGAGATGGCGACAAGTAAAACACGTACTCCTTCCGTCAATAGTGCGAAAAGCACTTGCTGACCGACTTCGATGTCGGTGATCCCGCCCACCAAGTTGCAGACCGCAACCACACGCTGTTCCTGGATACCCGGGCGGGCATCGGCGCTGTACGAGCTGTAGACCCTCTTCAGCTTGGCAGGCAGCTCGGAGACGGCCTTGCGAAGCAGAATGGCCTCGAAAGAAACTTCAGACATAGTCGAGATGTATGCGAGGGTGGTGACAGTGGTGGAGATGATGATGGTCGGGAAGCAAACTTCAAAATCGCGCGCAAGTCGAACCAACTTCCCGGGATCACGTGTCCCGGACCCACTAACGCGACTTAGACGCGATCAACACTTCGCTTCCACCATCATCATCATCATCAGCATGGACGACGACTGGATGAAAGCGTTTGAGATCGACTTGGGATTGGACTCTGGTACGTTTATTTTCAATAATCCGCCACGGTAAGTCTGAATATTTGTGTAGAAAGTCCCACCGTGAATGAGGACCCGACGCCCGCACCACCCCGGGAAGCCACTCCCACGCCTCCCGAAGGCCCACACCAAGGCGCAAGCGCATCTCCTGGTGCTGAGTCTGCTGCTGTCAGCCCCAACACCGAACCCTCGCCAGCCTCCGAGGACCATGCAGCCCAGCATTCACCGCTTCCCGACCACACGTCCCTTCCCGACACACGTCCCGACGGTCATAATGCTCCCGAACCTGCGCAAGTTCCCGACGACGAACCTGTTCCCGATGATGCTTTACCTCCCGACGCACAAGACCGGATTTCTTGGAGTGACAAGGGGAAGGGGCGAGCGGCCTCTCCGCACTCTGCGGCTGCTGTGACGCCACCCCGCACGAACTCGTCGCCGGACACGACGCCCGACCCACCCACCCAAGCATCTCCACCATTTCGCCTTCCCCTTCCACGTACAACGCCTTCTGCTTCTTCTGTTTCAAAGGAGGGTACTCCGCGACCCCAAGCGTCTCCTATCAGTGTTGTCAGCAGTCCAGAACGTGCGGCAACCGTTCCGGAACCGGCGAAGGCGACGAGAAGGGCTCCCGACGTCGACCTGACGATGGAGTCCGACGGAGAGGATCAACAGAAGGGTCGGAAACGGGTGAAAAGGATGAGGAGGGTGGAAGTTGAGGTACGCGGCTATGAAGAGGATGAGAGGGGTGAGGAGCCGACAGGTGCGTTCCCTCTAACTAGAGCTTGTCCATCGACTGAACAACGGCTTAGAACGGATTTTGGGGCGTCGCTACAACTACCCGCTGCCGCCGGAACTTAATATGCTGCCTGCACCACAGCGCAATGGTGGGCAGCCTTTACACGCGAGTGACGCCGCATTTTGGGCCGCATACGGAAACATCAGTGAGTTAGTGCATTCCTTTTAGCAGGCCTAAACTGACCGTGAGTAGAATCGTTTGACGCGTTCATACGACGGGTGGCACACGAGGACGATGCCGTTCCGGCCCTGCCGCGCCACATGTACAGCATGGGCGTTGAGATGGCGTTGGTGCACGCCTCCACTTACACAAGACACGTTCACAACGCACGACGCGTAGTCGCTGCGCAGGACCTCGCATCCAAGACATCGCGGAACTTGGGACGCCTTCGGGAACTACAAGAACAGTTGCAGGCTGTGAATGGATTCCTCAACCCCTCCGCCAACGATGATACTGGGACGCCAAATGGCCCGGCATTTGGCCTGAACAGCGTGCGCAACATGCGCGAGCCTCCGCATGCACCGGTTGACACTCAACGCAAGGCGGAGGACATGGCGTTGCGCAACTCCGCAGTGTCGGGGCCGTCGGGATCGGCGTCGGGTAGCGGTTCGGGACAGGCGTCGGGAAGTGGGTCGGGACAGGCGTCGGGACGTGGGTCGGGAAGTGCTGGTGTGGGATCACAGCTTGCGCAGGGCATGGCAGAGAGGTCCATGTCCTCCACATCTCATGGGCTGAAGCGCAAGCGCGCCGTGACTGACACGGACAGTTCTGCCCCGGAATCTCCTGTTGGGAAAAAGCAGACCCGACCATCCCGAGACTCACCAGTCCCTCCTACCCGCCCACCCGCTAAGCCCATCATGTCAGGTTGGGTAGAAGAGGCGCTTCCCGGCCCGCGCTTGAAGCCCAAGCCGGGTACTGCGAAAAAGCCTCTCATCCGCCGCGATAAGGTGCAGACAGGAGGTCCATCAGGAAGAAAGTCCGCGCCAGTGATGGGGTCGGGAAGTGGCTCGGGAGCATCGGGACGTCAGTCAGGCTGGATGCCACATCCGCCTCGGATGCGCAAGAGCTTGCAGGAGGAAAGTACAGGTCGGTCAAGGCCGAAAGCGTTGGACTATTTGGACTTTCCGGACTCGGACGATGACTTCGACTCATAATGGACGCAACATGTATTATTATTATCACCATGATCTTGTAAGTACATATCTCAATCTGCACTAGTGTTACGACGTTTTCTGGGAGAATCTAGGAGAACTTCCACGCGTGAGCGGGTCCTCTTGACAGTCCGAACCTCGAAAGCTGAACTTCTCTCCGTGCCCGCGGCAGAAGGCCCGCCATCTGGCTCTCCTGTATCGCCAGAGACCGGACCTAAAGACGCGTCGTTGTTGACGGGCGTAGTCTTACGCCCTGGCTGAGGAACCACGGGGCGGGGACGGGGGCGTGGCTTGCGAGGAGGTTCAGGTAGCACGTCTTCCTCCTGCGAGTCTTGCTCATCTTCCTCATCCGTGTCTTCGTGAATGTTGAACTCCTCGAGTTCCGAGTCTGACGTCTCTTCTTCATCTTGAGTACGCGATTTACGTGCCTTTCTGGGCCTACCTAGGCTGGCCCGACGCGTCCCGGTGCTGATCCCGACTTGCTTTGACTTCCCGACCTGTCGCGACTTCCCGATCAAAGGTCCCGACCGCCCTCGGGATTGAACTGTACTGGTCTTGGTACGCGCTGAGGACGTCGGGTTCGACTTGCGAGAACGGCGTGGGGCTTTGGACGAGCCTGACGTTGAGATTGCTGCTTCTTCGGGTGGAGGACTCGATGGCTGTATCTGATCCGGTCGTCGAGGAAGTGATTGTGTGAGAGGCAAAACGGGAAGTACGGGTCCAACCTTCGTCCTTGCCTGCCGACGAGGGCCAGCTGATGCTGATTGCCCCTGCTTTTGATGCTCCTGTGCGAGACGCTTCCGATGGGCAAGTGCAGCCTCGATGTTGCGCAGTATACCAGCCCGGAAATTGGCCTCCTGCTCCTGTGCCGCCCAAATCCTCCTCTGGAACTCTGACTGCGGCTTGTCTGTTTCGCGGAGGCGCATGATTGCTCGGGTGACGTCCTCGCGTAGTCGGTCGGGAAGCATGAAGTCTTTTCGGCGGTAATGTGGGCGTAGGGGGATCTCAGTGTCCTGCAAGGCTAGCTTGAGGGACTGGATCTGCCTCGTGATGCCCGTGGCAATGGCATGTCGGGTCCGTTCGATGTTCATGACGCTCTCCTGCATTGGGCCAGGAAGAAGTGCTCTATCCATCTGGTCCAACTTGAGGTAGTCGGTCCAGGCCAGTGCGATACGAAGAAGCCAGGTCAACGCCGCTTCCCGAGATATTAGACAGCCGTCCCGGATGAAGACGTCCGTGTCGGTCCACTGAGCGGCCAGCTCCTCCCACCTCCCCTGCGTATTATGGTACTCGTCTGTCAAGCCGCATCGTCCCCATTCCCAGCTGCCGAATGTGCGTTCGGGAACCTTGTCGTCCTCCTCGAGCGGGAGATCCGGCTTTCAAGGGGTAAGTCAAGCCGTCGGGACGCGGCGGGACGGTCGGGACATGCTTACCATGTATGATACGAGATGTACGAGATCGGCCATTCCGCGGGCCTGACATATCCGAGTGATGTATCCGCTTCGGCTGTGCGCGAAGCGGTAGCGGCAGGAAGGGGCGACACCAGGCCATGCCTTGCGATTGAGAATCCCAAGCTCCGTCAAGAAAGCATTGAAGACATCCGATAAAGCCTCCCTTCCCGACGTAAAATCAAGCAGTCCCGACGCTCCCGAAAGTTCCCCACTGACGAGTCGCCAAGCTTCGCTCTCCGCCAGCTCATGTCGGTTTATCTTGTTCATCGTCAACACATGTTAAGGAAGGGAAGCAAAGCATGACGCACCTCTCTGGATGCTTCGGTGACAAGAAACATAACTATTGCAAGCATCACCTTCCACCCTTGTGACCATCCCAAGAATCCTTTGTGCAGGTACGGCTTCAGCGCTAACCAAGAACGCACTCCCACCACAGAGGCATCGGGCAGTAAGGGCGATGTTGCATCCCAAGTAATGGCAGCGGGGGGGACAAGCGTACTTGCATGCTTAACAATCTGAGCATCCGTGATGCTATCGCGCTTTGCAGACTAAGAAGGGCGTCAGCTTTGTCGGGACCGCTTCGGGGCGCTCGGGACGTACGGGAAGCGTCATTAACCCGCGTACGCAGTCTTCTGCGAGCGTTCGGTCCCGCCCCTCTGGGACCAGCTGTAATGCGGTCATGCAGTACTGGGCGCGAGCTTCGGAAGTGTGGGGCACTACGCAGGGCGCCAGGTGGGTGTGCTGCTCGTCTTCGGTCCTCTCCAGCTCCGCGGGATCAATAATGTCGTCTTCAAATACGCAACTGTTAAGGGCGTCGTCGTCACCACAGTCGGGAAGGAGTTGGTCGCGTCCTAGCACCGTATGACCTCGGCTGCCGTAGCGATTCACGAGTCCACAGCTTGCTGCCAGCTCGGATGTCAGAGCTCCCGGTCCCGACGCGCCCGACGCTCCCGACGCATTCGGGGCTGCGGTGGCGATCCTTGATGGAACGCGGGCCTTCCCGCGTTTTACCATATTCACTCGCACCCATCCAACCTCAAACCATTGCTCTAGTAGCTGAATTCGGTGCGCAACGGACATGTCGCCGGCAAACTTCCAGACGATATGGTCGGGAGGAGACAGCTCCTCTGGAAAGAAGTCTTGCGGAGCCTTCCCGATCTCGGTCCACGGCACGCGCGTAGGTGTATTGGAGTTCTTCGCCAATGCTGTTCCACTTGTTTATTAGTACTGACACCGCGACAATTGCTCTGCGCACGTACCAAATGCCTTTTGAAGTATCTCCTTCAGTAGAGCTTCTTCATGGCGATGTATGACACCGGGATTGGTTTTCCAAAGTTCTACAGGCAGAACTATGCATTGGCGTTCCAAGTCTACTTCCAGCGGTATTCCCGACGGGCTGCTGCCCTTGGGCTTCTTCTTCGACGCCTGAGTCGTCTCCAAGCTCACAAACTCTTCTGGTGCCTGCGCTTGCTCACCCTGAATCTCGGCTACCATTGTGAGTCACTTTATCCCATATACTGCTGCTTTGAGACGTACTGTGTGCCTTATGAACGTACTCTTTCAAACGCGCCAGCAGCGAATCCCAGTTCACCCAGTCCCTCAATGGTTCCTTCGCATAACCCAGCTCTTGAAAGAAATCTATTCTTTTGCGCAAGTCAGTCTACATTGTCATATGCCACTGAAAACAGTTTGTCCCGAGTTCAGCAGACGAGGACAAAGACAGATGTCGGGACGCCTCGGGAACCGCAAGTCGTCGGGAACATTTGATCGCCGTCGGGATGCAAACCAAAATGGTCGGGACCGTCGGGACGAGGGCAGTCGGAGCACGGGAACTCACATCTCTGGTTCGCCATCGACGCCGGGCTCTGGCAGCACTATGAACGCAAAGTACCGCCCAAACTCGCCCACACCTTTATGCGTCATACCCTTACACCATTTCGTCAAGTTGTTTTTGGCATTCCTGTGCTTGGGTAAGGACAGATACAATCGAGACGGCTTTCATACGCACTTCTCCTTCTGCTCAGTACTAACCCCCCTCTTATTCCAGTCCTCCGCCCTCTTCTCAAAGAAATCCTTCTGTGCGGCTGTAAGCTTGCGGTAAACCTTGGCCTTGAAGTGTCGGTATAGGCCGAACCAGCCGTGGTGGTCGTCGCGCAGGTCGGGATGCTCCTCGAAGATGGATTCCTTGATGATGTCGCAGCACTCGGCGTTGAAGACGTCCTCACCCTTCCAGTTCTTCCTCTCGCTGTGATCTACAGCATGCCGAAGATCTTTAGTGCCTTCCTCGCTCAATAGCAGGAGTACTCGCTGTCCCGACGCAAGCATTCGTCAGCCAATGATCGCCTGCATCCATGCACTGGCGACGCACGTTTCGTGTCCAATAATACGTTGTGTCGGCGTTAAATGCTGGTCTCCCGCTGGCTGTCCAGTTATAGTCGGGATTCTCCATGAGCCAAACTTCGCGCGTGACAGTTTGAGCAAAAGCGTCGCGGTCCTTCGGTGCAAGAGTGGCCCATGTTTCAAGATGCTCGCGGCACCGGAGCAATTGTCGGTCGGTGAGGGTACACAAAGTGGCTGGTAGAGCGCTCATGGCGTGCAGCAATGTTTGTTGGGAGGACAGAGTCAACACATGTGTAACCTCTGTGACACTGGTGCGGCAGGGTCGCCTGGGCGATGTGGGCGCGGATCGGGAAGTCAAACCAGTCCCTTTGATGGATTGATGCCAGAACTGGCGCCAACGGCCCTCGTCACAAGGCACTCAGTTCGTCGTTCGTAAGTGTACCCATTTTCCATCTCACCGACGCAGATGTCAATGTCGCTTTCATAGCATGACGGGACATTGCGCTTTCACTCCACCTGCAGCGCCAGAGCGGCTACCTCAAGTGTCTTTCACTTGCGTCGGGAGGGGTCGGGACATGTGTCGGGACGCATTGCTCATGCACGTAATAGCTCCTGTAGCAGCACACACGTCGTCATAATATAGCATCACTTTGATATATTATTGGAGAACACTTCCAGTGCTTGCGTACTCATGGACGTCCCCTGCAGTTGTACAGGGAAGGTATGGGAGGGCGAGGAACATGGTGAGCGAAGATGACGTTCCAGACGCGAGCACAAAGACGAGTCCAGTGCTGACGTCGGGATTGTACCGAGGAGTCGGGAAGACGGTCCATACGTCGGGACGGTCGTATACGTCTACATACATTCTATCTGACGCGCTCCGGAAAGGATGAGGGGAGAGGGGCGCTGCTGCAATCCCGAAAGTGAGGGCTGAGAGGCCCAAATGCATGTTTCTGGTAGGTTGTCAGCGATGTAGC